TTTTCTGTGTGTAGATTAGTCAAGAAATCTAAGTTCTTTAATGATATTATTTCTCCTTAACACTGTCAATGTACATTGAAAAACTAGAACACTATTTTAATTGTGTCCAAGAAAAGCATCTACTAGAGAGCTCTAAGCATTTGTCCCTAAATATATAGAGTTTCCAAACCCAAACAGTCACAACTTTGCACTATCCTTCCTGACCACCACTAGTACAGGCAGTGGGAAGGTGGCTATGCATTAAAAATGCGCACAAGTCTTACTGAAACATGTTATTTCATACATTCTTTATTATATTATTCATTCAGCAGGTATTTACTATGTGTTCGTCTAGTCCTGGCTCTGAGTGTGGCAGTGAATAAACTGGGTAAGGTCCTATCTTCGTCCTGTTTGCATGGATATTTGAATAAAACTCCATCGGGATGTTGACAGTCACACCTGGTGTGTACTGTTGTTCTCAATATGTAGATGCTCTTTCCTACTCATTCTGCAAGTGGACTTTGCCTCTAGTGACCTTCACAGCTGGACGGGGACACACAGATCACAGTTCTTCTCAAATATACTTCACATGGAGAAGTTTGGGGCCATTAGCAGCTTCACGTTCAACGGAGTGACACTGAACACCACAGAGTGATTTAGGTCTGACCACCCTTCTCACTGGGTGTTAAACTTACTGTGGAATTCTTGCCTTGGAATAGTTTGCAAATCTCCAAATTTGGGGCAAATACTTCAGTTTTACAGCAAAGAAAGCCACCAGTTGAGTCCAGCTGTCTTTTTATGCAGCCTTGTGCCCTCCCAGCTGAAATTAATAACAATACCTTTTGTTTTCCTAGAGCCACTTTTTAAGAGATTGAATGACTTGATCCACACAGTTGAGGTTTTCCCAGGTGGTTCACTGACTGACCCACAGCTAAGAAACTAAGGCCTGAAAAGTGAAGCTAAATTCTTAAAGAAAAATGAGTTTTGTTCATTCATTTATATACCATTTTGTTTACCAGCAAGGAGAGGGCACTTGCTGAAAATCCATTAACTTGTGGATTTAGGGAATTTTGTTAAGCTCGTACTTTCATACTTCAGTCCTGTGATACAGGTTCATACGGTCATGTTAGACACTAGTCTGCTTTTCGCTGGTTCCCTTATCCTCTCCTGCATTCTTTCCTTCCCCATACCCCCCTTCTCATCTTCTACCTGACCTCAGGTCCATCATCAACTTCCCAAAGTATTTTGAGAACATAACCATGCCTCACTTCCCAAATATAAGATGTAATTTGCAGAGAACACTGACCAGAGGCAAGTCTCCATCACTACTACCCGGGGTGTGCGTGTGTCTGCTTACGTGAATCCAAGAATGTGAGCAGCCTTCCGCTGGCAGAAACACATTCAGCTCATTAAAGCTGGTGGAAACTACAAAGATTTCACTGAATTCCAGAAATCATATAGCCTCTCAGTTTGTTTTGAGGCATTTTTCCGTAACAGTTAAATTGCTATCATTTTTAACATTTGCATACCTCCACCTCTCCAAGGGAGGGTAGTACCCTTGTAATTAAACTACATTCTTCTGAGGTTTCATAATGAGCTATTATTTTGCTAATGGAATACTCAAGTAGTCTGTAGTAATATATCAAGTAGTCCTAAATCCCATTTTCGCAGTGTGATTCTTTTTGTTCACAGGTAAATTGATGTGTGTGGGGGGGTTATCAAAGCTTTTTTGTAATTTATCCATTCTCCCTCCCTTCAAGGAAAAAAAAAAGTAATCTTAGAACTGGGTTTTCAGAAATATTTAGAGTTAAAATTCTACAAATTTTGTGCAAGTTATAATTTCTGCCTTTCAGGTTGTTTTGTATTTTTACATTTTAATTTTGCACATTTGGAATTTTAAAAATGCACCTAAACTGAGGGGGGGGGAAGCAAAAATGTAATTCAACCTCTTTCACCCTGGAGTCTGCTCCTTGGTCAGCTGGAACTGCTAGCAGGGGGCACTACTGTAAATTAGAGATCTAGCAACAGGGGACCGTCTCCACTCAAGCTCTCCCATTCTCCTTGACGTGAAAAGGTAAGCATTTAAACTGGTATAGTGCTCATTGAAATGGACACCCCTTTTCGGCACAGAGCTCTTAAAGGTATCATGGTTTGTGCATGTTGATGAATATAAGAACAGAAAGCTATGCAACTAAACCCATGTTGGGAGATGGTGTCTTAAACTCTTTAAATAAACGGATGCAAATTACTTGTAAAACTAAGCAACTGAGTGGAGGGTTCCAGTTCCTGCCAAGATGGTGAAATGGCTTAGTTACTGCTGGCTCAGTGTCCTTGAAGCAACCTTAAATCTTATTTTTTTAATATTGTTACTCAAGGACAACATCTTTGAGCAGCTAACCAAAACAACTAACAGACACTGATGCAGTGGAAGGATCTCCAGATTTGCCAAGTGGGGAAGTAAGGGGTGGCGCCCTCCGGGTGGGGGTTGCATCCTGCTAAGGAAGTGCTCCCTGTTCACCAGAAATCGGCCGCAGAAGCTCCGGCCACTAGAGTGGCGTCCCTGAGCCCGCGCTCGGGCTGCACAGAGGCCATGGGGGCGCTGCACCACAGAACAGGGCTGACCCTCTGCCCTCCAGGGTTCACCTTCATCTCCCCTCCCCGCGGTATTCATTTGCTGATGAAGACCAGCCGAGGAGAACCACCGACTCCCGTTGCTGTGCTGCCATTAAACAGGAGACTCGAATCACTGGCCAGAGCGACAGCTAACAGCCTAGAATTCTCTGCCATATGTATTATCTGGCCTTTTATAGAAAAAGTTTACCGACTTCTGATATATACAACTACATTCTAGAAACAGACAAAGAGAAGGAAGCAAAAATAATACTTGAAGAGAACCAGAATTATAATTATTAGTAAACAAGGACAGTTACAAAGCTATTAAGTAGAAATATAGAAGATACATTTTTTAAAAGTAAATTGAACTTGTACTGATTAAAAACTACAATATCTGAGATGAAAAATACACTGGAGGGATTCATGGCTGAATAGACACTGCAGAAGAAAATATTAGCACAATTGAGGACATATCAATAAGAACCATCTAAAATAAAATAAATATATAAAAGATAAAGGCCTAAGAAATTGGACATAGCATCAGTGAGCTCTGGAACAAATATACACATGACTGGAGTCACTGAAATAGGAAATTAGGGGTTCAGACAGAATATTTGAGGAAGTAATGGGCCCAAGTTTTCCAAATTTGCTGAAAACCCTATGTCCTCAGATCCAAGAAACTCAATAAACCTCAAGTACAAGTGACATTAAGGCTTTACCAAGTCACATCACAATCAAATTGCATAAAACTAGTGATAAAGAAAATCTTAGAAGCAGCTAGAGGTGGAGAAAGTACTTTTGATATAAGAACAAAGCTAAGTGTCGTAGCACATTTTTCTTTGGAAGTAATCAAAAACAGAAGTACTAAAAGAAAAACTCCACCTAAAGTTACTTACCTGTTGGCAATATCTTTGAAAAAAAGATTAAAAAAAAGACTGTTCAAATATATAAAACCCAAAAGCAATAAAGAACACTGGGGATGATAACTATGTAGGTACATATAAAGCTCTGTAAGAAAATTATTTAAATATCTTTAGAAGAGAATCTGCTCTTTAAAGCAAAATTAATAACAGTGTATAATATGGTTAATAACATATGTCAAAGCAAAATATACAATTATAATAGCACAAAGGCTGGGAGGGAAGAAATGGAATACATAATTTTAAGTTTTCTTGCACATGAATTTGTGTATCAGTGGAAGGCTGACTCTGATGAATGAAGGATGTGTATTTTAACCCCTCAAGTAAGCATTAAGATAACACAAAAAAAGAGTTATAATTAATGCTCCAACCAAAGAAATAATTTGGAATCACTAAAAATAATTTAAAAGAAGGCAGAAAAGACAAAAACAGAAACAAAGAATAGGTGGGACAAATAGAAAATAACAACAGGATGATAGATTGTCAAAAATCATATCAAATCTAAATGGTCTTAACCCCAGGTAAAAGACAGGGATGGTATGATGAGGTTTTTTTAAAGCATGATATAACTGAATGCTGCCTAAGAGAAATCCATTTTTTAAATATAATGAAAGAAGTTAAAAGGAAAAGATAGAAAATGTGTGCCATATGTGAAATACATGAAAATAAATCATCACTATATGAAAATATATTTTTCTCTTACATATGAACCAAAACTTGACTAGAAACAGTTCTTTCACCGAGGTCACAGCTCCACTATGTACAATCTGTTGAACGAGGTTTCGTTTGGAGACCTTATTGCCTGCCGATGTGTTTTTCTTGGCTTATAGAATATTAACAGAAAATGTGAATTTGTCAACGACTTAAAAATTCTGGAGGTTGCGCATAAAAATTCGTATTCTGGCTGTTCTCAAAAGGTTGACAATCAGAGGCGTGGCAGTAGCATTCTCACACAGAAACACAGATCTAGGCCTGGACGGGTGTCTTTGTTCCCCATCATATTTTCTGCCTCATTTCCATCACCAGATGGGCCTCTGATGGCAGTTGAGATCTTAAGCCCTGATGTTGCTTGATTGGCTTCTAGAACTCTGTGTTATTGAGGAAAATTGTGAAACAGTTCTGGCTTTTGTTGTTTGGTTTCTTGTGAGTTCTTTTTTTAATATTTTGCCTGGATACAATTAAGATTTCTTTAAAAGTTGAAACTGTGAATATATGAAAACAAAGCTGTATGAACCTATGTCTGCTTTTTGACACCTACATGTCTGGTACATAATTTGTTCTGCACACTAAAGAATTTGGGTTAGGAAGTATGCTTTTTATTATGACTTGCCTATTACTTTCACTATTGTGCTACCAGTCAAACATATGTTAGAGACTTTTCTCTGACTTTAATTTCTATCATCTTATCTCTCATTGTTTCCATTTCCTTGTTTTTTTGTGTTTCCAAGACACTCAAGTTTTTATTCATTATTAAAAGCTCAATTTTCAAGCTTTGCGCAGTGGCAGTATCGTAGCCAATGAGGTTTATCCGAGGCGCGATTATTGCTAATTGAAAACTTTTCCCAATACCCCGCCATGACGACTTGAAATATAGTCAGCATTGGCAATTTTTGACAGTCTCTACGGAGACTGATTAAAAAAAAAATAAAATAAAATAAAAGCTCAATTTTCTGTAATGCTGATAGAGTTCTTCATTATTTCCAATAATTTTTAATTCTGTGATTACATCTTAATTGTTGGATATATTAACAATATTTATTGAGCTCTTAACTGTATGCCAAACATCACTGAAACACTTTAAATATATTATCTCAATGAATTTTTTTTCCAGAAATCCTATAAAGAATGTTATTATTATCCCTTCTAATGGTGAAAACAATAAGGCTTTCAGAGATTAAGTAATTTTTCTAAGGTAAAAGAGTTGGAAGACAGTGGGACTAGGATATATAACGAGGCACTTTTTAATACAAAGCCTCTGTTCTTATTTGATGAGCTGTACAAGCTTCCCTTAGCTCTGATTTATGTAGCTTGCCTCACCCAATTCATTCCATTTTTTACAATCAATTATGCTTTTTTAAAAATGTCTAATTGTGATAAAATACGCATGACATAAAATTTACCTTCTGAACTATTATTAAGTGTAAGGTTTAGTAACCAATCTATCTCCAAAAATCTTTTCATCCAATTAAACTGAAATTGTGTCACTGAATAACTCCCCACTGCCACTTCACCACCAGTCACTGTCAACCACCATTCTGCTTTCTGTCTCTACAATTAATTCTTTATCCTAGTCTGTCATTCTAATAACAATTTAATAATCATAGTAATTTCATAATTTGCTTGTTGGGTAGGAAAACTTGTTTTCCTATATTTTTTGAGCATAAGGTAAAAGCAGTAATTTTCAAGCTTTTATTTTTACTAGAAATATTTTCAAAATATGTTCTTCCTCTCTCTCTGGTGCTGTAGTTTCTGGGTTTTGTGTAGTAGAATTGCTTCGTATGACACTTGTTTTTATTAAAAAGATGTTCTTCAGTCCTTGAGAAGAATGGATTGTCCTTGTTAATTTTAATCAGTCTTATCTGAGTCCAGTTAGTATGATCTGTCAGATCGTAAGATATAGCAGGTGTTTCTGATTCTGTGTTGTCTTTAATTTAGTAAAGATGTTTGCCTGAGGAACGTCCTGCAGTCTGACGACCCCATCACCTTATCGTTCGGGGAGGGCCTGAGCCCATATAGCCCGAAGTTGTCTGTATTTCTTACATCACAAAAAAACCCAAATGGTGAAATAAATATTTCAACATCTGGATCTGAAAGGTTACCCACAGCCATGGTGGCCTCAGCGGTGTTTCATTCCTGAGGGATACTGGGCTGAGCGCTGCATCACAGAGCGAAGTGAGGCCGAAGGTGGGACGCTGTGCTCGGATCCGTCGAGGAGCTTCCCCAGCATGGAGGGTGGCCTTGTGCTGCTGTGGGCTGTGCAGTCGGCCAGCCCCCCTCATCAGCCTGTGTGGCTTTGCCATCCTGCCTCCAGGCTAAGCCTCCCTTAGTTGACTGTACAACTTCTGTCTGACACAGTTCTGACAACATTTCTAGTGTCCACTGTTGTTAAAATTGCATCTCTTTTCCTGTTTTCATGAACATTGTGATGGAAAGATTGCAGAGGGTGAATCGGGGATGCTGATTGCCAGCAGCATATGCAGAACACCCTCTGGCATGTGTAGCTGGTAGTGGCTGTTGTCCTCATGCACAGTTCGGCCTAAAACCTGGTGTGCGCCAGCAGCCGGCCTTGATGCAGATGGACGAGGTGCCCTGGCTCCATCTTCTCATGGTCTTTGAAGAGCCGCTTTCTGTTTATTACTATCTTTTCTATTTTCTAATCTCAGGAGTATTGTGGCAGGAAAAGATGTATGTAAATTGCACAAATTATCTATGTTATACTGAGATGCTATTTGCAAGGATTTTTTTCTTAAAAGCATTCTTTTTTCCTCCAAAATCTTTTTCATGGTCAGGTTGAATACTCTCAACCTTCCAGATTCTATTTCATGTCCATAATACTTTAATGAGTAGCCTTTGTGGAAGTGACAACAGCTAAATTATGAAATCTGTTAACAATCCTTTCTCCCATGGGTTAGTTCTTCATGCTTTGATTTCGGGAGTGGAGAACAAGAAGCAATAGCAAAAGACAGAGTGTGAAATCTAGGCAAAAATTGTGGTCTGAAGCTTGAAATTAAAATTGCAGCTAAAGCTTGGTTTAAGAAAATAAAAATAATCTGAAGCTAGAATGGGATTTTGTGTGTGCACTCACACGTGTGTGTGTGTGTGTGTGTGTGTGTGTGTGTGTTGCTGTGGTGCATGAATATTCTACACATTAGCTCCTTGGCCATGACTGTAATATTTCTTATGGAAAGAAGGGTGGCTTGTTAGCATGATCTCACCAATCATGGAAAGGCAGGAGCCTGTTTGCGTGCAGAGGCTATAAACAATAATAATTCTGAAGAGAGGAAGTGTCCAATGTTGAGAGTCAACAACATAGATTCTATTTCTGGCTCCATCATTTTCTTTTTAGGAGGTTTCAGGCAAGTCATGTTCTCCCAGAACTCCTATCGCTGTATCTCCTCGGTTGGCACACTAATAGTTTCCATTTTATTACTTCATGGACATTTTGTGAGTTTTAGTAACTGTAGGCAAAATAATCTACAAAAATGCTTTAAATTGGAGAACCTCCAGCACAAAGGAAGAATCTTACTTCTCCGGAGAAAACACCTTTTCGCAGCCAAGCCATGTGCTTTCCTGCCCTCTCTCTTCCTCTCCGCTCTCTTTCTTTCTTTCTCTCTTTCCAATGTGAAGGCTCCTCACTGCCAAGTAAATTCTATAAGCTTTCTTTCCAATATTGTGATTGAGCAGCTTCTTACCAGAAGCTCTGTGAGCTTGACATGAGCTCATTATTAGATAGGATTGGTGGCAATTACCATTTTTTTAAAGGGGAAAAAAATCACAGCACATTTAGGAGTCACAGGGCTATGGAAATTTGGGAACCGTTTCTGGAGTAAGAGTTGTTCTATATATTGAAAACGTATTTGTGAAGGCGTCCGGCCCTCCTCCTGAGGTGCCCTGGGCAGGCAAGTGTGCAGAAAAGCCAGTGATAATTATTTATTTCACTAGGACCAGAGAGGAAGCATACGTATGTGAGATTTAGCTTTAGAGAAAATGAGAAAATGGGCTTACAAGAATCTAGAAACCAAGTATGTGCATTATCTCTGTCAAGTCATAAGAAGAACTTAAGTTCGAAACACACTTGACAGCTTAAAATAGCACATTCATGTATGTAGTTTCATGAAAACCATGAGGCAGAGCCATGTATTGTTTCAGGATTAGAAAACTGACATTGGGAGTTACTGATGGATTTGTCTAAGGTTGCCCAGCTAGAGAGCTAGTACTCTAACCCAAATATCTTGATTATTTACCTAGTAACTAAAGCCACACCCTTGATCCTCAACTGGGAGGCGTGGGCTCCGGGGGGTCCTAGACGCCTCCGGCCCCCATGTGCACCGGTCTGCACACTTGGTGAAACACCATCCCCCAAGGTGAACATCACAGACAGGTGAGCACCTCACGAGGGTGGCTTTCCCTCCGATGTGTTAGACGGAAATAGCTTGCCAACCACAGAATATGGCTTTTTGTGGGAGTGTTTATCTCTTCTTTTTACATAAATGATGAAGCTACATTGTGAACATGAAATACTTAACTTCATTTTCTCAAGCAAGGGTTTTTGAATATACCCGGATATTTGTGACAATGTTTATCTCTACTCGGGGCTGAAATTTGGCTGCTGTTCTTATACCCTGATAATAGCTCCAGCCATCCTCGGACGCCTCCTTCTAGAACTAACACTCCCCAGGCCTAATTCCCCTCACGGCTGGTGCCCTAGTTTTTTACTAATGTACATTTTAACTGAAAACACATGACATCAGTGACATTAAAACCTCCTTAAAACATAACCAAAGAAACATTATTGCCTAAGTCGGCTTTCCTCTGGACTGTATTCCGATGAGATTTTCATGTGGTTGCAGATGTTTAAGTTGGCATCTATGTTTTGACATAAACTTGGAGAGAGAAATAAAACAGACTCCTTTCCTTGTGAAAATCTCCTATCAGCCATCAGAGGAAGAAATGGGGAACTGTTTCAGGAGAGGCATACCTTAATTTTGTTGCAAATCCTTTTCTGCTTTCCAGCCTTCAATATCAATATGTCACACTAAATTATTTCATTAAGTACCTCATCTCCTCTGTGCCCTGCTTGTCTTTGAGGACAAACTTTGGAGCTGCCATGAATGCGTCTGCAATATTTCAGCCCAAAGGATACCTGCCGACTCTTAACCAGAAAGCTCTGTACGTTCTCTTCCTCTCCCCTTCATAAATATATATTGCAATTGCCACTGTTATTAAAAAAATTATCCTTTGGTCCTTAGAGATCTGCCGTGCTCTACTCTCCCTTCCTTCTTCAGCTGACCTTGCTTCCCCAGAAAGACAGGAAGACAACCTTAAGTGACAACGGGACAAATTTCATTTTGTTGAGAACTGCCTTTTCAATTATTTCTCTCCTCTCGATTTCTCCTTGCTGACCTGGTCCAAGCTGTTACTTTGACAGGGGTCCCTAACCTCTAAATTAAAATATGCAAATTGTTATGCTTCCTGCACGAGGACCAGTATAGTCTATGCATTATAATTGCAAAAGATTGTTCAGTTCCTTTTTATACCAGAAAAATATAGGTACCTACTTCTGCCATTTTCTATTATGAGAAAAATAATACCCTGCAGACTGATACATTATAAGCAATACATTGATGCATCAGTATATTTCAGTATATTTTAAAAAAAGAAAGATTATTATTTTTGTGACCCACATTCTGCCACAATGAAAATATGTCCCAATTTAACTAAATACTCTCAAGACTTTGTGGATATGCTTTAAATGTGCCAATACTGAGGACTCGTCTACCTGAACTGGAAACACAACTATACCTTCAAGTACTTAATCTTTACTTAGTGGACTATAAATTCAGAACAGTTACTGTCAATGCATTTGTCCTTATAATCCTCCTCTAGTAAATTCTTGGAATTGGGTTGCT